TTTTTTTTTTTTTTTTTTTTTTAATATCAACTATTCGATCATCGAATGATCATTGTCGATCGCAAGATGATCTATAACTTGATTCGATTCTTACCGTTTGGAAAATACTTGTCGATGACAATCGGTGAATTCTCTACTACTTATATGGTGGTGGAAACATGAAACTCATTGTCAGAGGTGGTAGTGATGTAGCGTGTGGTGGTGGTAGGGCGCGGCATAACCGTCGCTTCACTCTGATCAATACGCCACCGTTCCTTCTCTCTCTTGCTCGGTCTACCTCTCTCTTTTTCTCTCTTACCCGCTTACTCACGTTCTATCTTGTTCCTCCTCACCACCTGTTTCTCTCTTTCACCCTTCTTCGTGCGTGCGTGAAATTACACGCATCGTCAGGCGTGCACGGTAATACGCGACCGTAATACGTAGAATGTACGTTCTTAAATACCCTGTAACAGTATTTCCATAATTTATACATGCCTCTTCTTTCATGCTCGTTTAATTGAACAGTCGAGAATAATTCGACTCGAGCGCGAATACTGGAAATAGTATCGAAGATGGTTATTTTCTTACGTCAGCGTAAAACAATGTTAATTAGGATCCTTAAAGTAAATGCTTCTACTTGTTCCCTTGTTGAATGCATCAATGCATCATTCTGAGTCATCTGAAGTGGGCAGTCTGAAGAGCTTTAAAATCTAGAATCCGTTTACAGATTGTGAATTGGTTTTTTTGAAATTTATTAGAATTTTTTAAATTAACTTGTTGGCGTGTTCAATTGCGACATTTGACGTTTTGTCAATTGGATTTGAACAAAATTTTTTGATGTAAATTAAATGATTTAAAATATATTCACTTAATAATGTTTTAGAAATAATTAACTTTTTTTTTTGCTAAACTATGTAAAATTTGTTGAACGAATCTTTTATTTTTTTATATCTGTTTTTCAGGATGCCAGAAAAGCAGCTTGCGATACGACGTTGGTCCAAGCCACGTCGGGCATGGAGCCTATCGGCCGGATACAAATGCGTACGAGACGCACACTTCGTGGTCACTTAGCCAAGATTTATGCCATGCACTGGGGCAGTGATTCAAGGTATCTTGAAGCATGATTTTTTGATTTTAAATATATTTCTTATCTGTTAAAAGTGAAAGAAAAATATTCGTTCATACATTATTTTCATTGAATTGACAGAAATTTAGTGTCAGCATCGCAAGATGGAAAATTGATCGTTTGGGACAGTTATACCACCAACAAAGTTCATGCAATCCCTTTGCGCTCCTCATGGGTGATGACCTGTGCGTACGCACCATCAGGTAGTTTCGTAGCCTGCGGTGGGCTGGATAACATTTGTTCCATCTATAGTCTAAAAACTAGGGAAGGAAATGTAAGAGTTAGCAGAGAACTCCCAGGTCACACTGGGTACTTGTCTTGCTGTCGATTTTATGACGACAACCAAATTGTCACTAGTTCTGGCGATATGACTTGGTAAGGAACATTTATTTTTATTATTATATTTATAATTTTCATCTAATCGTTGATCTAAATCGTTTCTAATTGGCACCTTACTACTTATTTGCATAACAATTCCGCTGAACATGGATTTATTTCGTTTAGGAAGATGACTTAAAAATGAATATAAAATAAAAAGATGTCCCAGCCTTTCCATCCTTTCCCTTATTGTTTCCAGTTCTCATTTTCTGATCGGTAATTATATAGTGTGTAAAAGTATGTGAACTGTGTCAAAATATTATGTTTCTTTCTTTTTTTCTTTTCGATCAGTGCCCTGTGGGATATAGAAACTGGTCAACAATGTACCTCCTTTATTGGACACACGGGTGATGTTATGTCCCTGTCTTTGGCTCCTGACACACGCACATTCGTATCTGGTGCGTGTGATGCTAGTGCAAAATTATGGGACATTCGTGAAGGAACTTGCAAACAAACTTTCCCAGGCCATGAGAGCGATATAAACGCTGTTACGGTAAATTTTATTTTCTAAAATATCAATCTTCTAGATAATTTTTCTCTTTGCATATAGAATTCGACACGCGATCCGTTCACACGAGAAAGGAAAATCAGTGATTTTAATGGAAATTTCATTTTATTATTCAGTTCTTCCCGAATGGATACGCTTTCGCGACGGGTTCAGACGATGCAACGTGCAGACTTTTCGATATTAGGGCAGATCAAGAACTGGCCATGTATAGTCACGACAATATTATCTGCGGTATCACTAGCGTAGCGTTCAGCAAGAGCGGTAGATTATTGCTGGCCGGCTACGACGATTTTAACTGCAACGTTTGGGATTCCATGAAGGCTGAACGAGCCGGTACGTTATTTTTATTCGATATCAAAGATTGCCTTTTAGAAGAGAAGAGAAACTTTATTTTAAGCCCTTCTCTTTTTAATTTATTTTCTTTTTCTCTATTCTTATCCTTTTTATCTTTTTAATCAATACAAGAAATGATACTAATTAACATTATTTTAATATGCAGTATTTTTATTCGAAGTATCGATGAATGAAGTATTTCTTACGTCTTATCGTATAGAAAAAGTGAGCTGTTTCAAAATGCTTTCTTTTATTTTACAGGAATTCTTGCCGGTCACGATAATCGTGTGTCTTGCCTCGGCGTTACAGAGGATGGTATGGCAGTAGGGACGGGCTCATGGGACTCATTTTTGCGTATTTGGAACTAACTTGGGGTTAATCCCAAGACGTTCCTCCACAGAACCAACTACAGCCAATCAGCATACAGCATAAGCATCAAGTACCACCACTTGGCCACCGAAGTCGGCGTGTCCGTGTCCTCAACGGAGGCGAATTATTCGCCCGGTTCACCGGAGTTGACGTTGATCAGAAAGTTTGGACATCCGTTAGACAACAACAGTAAAAAGACCCACGGTAGTAGCAGCAGTAGCGGCAGCGAATTTAAGAACGTTTTGGGTTGTGGTGGTAAAAAGGACTACCGGAAACGCGTCGTCGATTTAACCTGGCGACGTGGCAAAGTCGGCGATAAAATCACTCATGAATATCAGCGCTTCTAGTATATGGATATACCGTTTGTTCGATATATTCGAACGTACGACTGATGATGATGATGATGATGATGATGATGATGATGATGATCGAGAAAGAAGCGTGGTGAAAGGAAGAACGACAGAACGGAGAGCAGCACCAAGGCTGACAGCCATATCTCTTCGATGTCGTGAGCGTTACTTCCTTTCTCTCCTCCCCTTTCTCAAGGACTATTTGGCAATTTCGAAGAGTACGTGCTGTTGATATATATATATATATCTTGATAGCATCTTCTCGAAGATCTTCCCGAATTCGAAGGTTGAAATAAAGAATCGATTCCCGACACTCCTCATCCGAGGTCTACGTCGCTGGAAGCGTTTTATTATTATGAATAAGAAAAAAAAAAAAAAAAAAAAAAAAAAGAAAAAAGGTTCCGAGCGTTCACTGCCGATGAAGCGCCGACATGGCTGCTCCGGCGGTTGATTTTACATTTTTTTTTTTTTCGACACGCACGAAGCAAGTCGTACCAGGCGAGAACACGATGTGAAAAAAAGAAGGAAAAATGGTCGCTCGTGCACGGCATAAAAGTAAACATGATCGTGAAAACTATATATACATATATATATTATATATATACGTATGTCGACGAGCAGCCAAGATTACGATAATCTCGCATATTGCATTCAACCTACACGCACACCGTACGCACGTGTATTAATACGTACATAGAAAACTACATACATACATCTGCACACAAAACGCGAAGTACCGCAAACAAAAAGCATCTGCTATTAAGTACATAGTGGGTCATCCACGAGTCCCGACATATAAGTCACTATCTCCGATCATATTTTCTCTCTTCTTTTCGTTTTCTTCCCTTTCCTTTTTAT